ATATGTAATTATATATGTAATTTTATAATATATTCTATATTTTACATATAGAATATATTAAATATAATTCTGTATATAATTATGGAAAATTTTTTACCTCCTTACCGAGTTCTAATTTAAATTTTTGGAGCATTCTGCACTTATATATAAAGTCTGTTCTTTTTAGCTGAATTCTATTCACTATTCATTTTATTCTTTTTTTTTATGTTGGAAGAGAAAGAAAGATAAACAGTACAAGAAATTCATTTAAAAAGAACAGACTTATAGTTTCGAATTGTAAACGCTCCTTGCGCAGATTCGTGGAGAATGGTGGATAGTGGTGGAGAGTGGTTTGCCAGATCAGATTTTGTTTACGATACTTGGCACGAAGGTTATATCGTAAATATGGCGCTTGCCATTACCTGAATCTCAAGACGCGACATCGACGACGCGACATTGGGATCCGTTGTGTTCCACAACGTCGCGGATTATCGGCTTCCCGGTGAGATCCAAGATGCCGGGTTACTGTCGACGTCGCGCATCATCCACGTCGCAATACGGTTCAGTCTGAGGTAAAAACGACGACGTTGACACGACGTGATGAAATCCGTGTACAAGTTGTTCCTGCTGTGCCTTATCCTCGCCGTGCTAATAATACTGCTCAACGTGACCACCAACATCTCCAACAAGTTATACGACCAGCCGTCCGCGAGCAGGGAGCGTTTGGCGCTCCCGAAGAAATCCTCGGGAAGCGCATCCGTGATAAGCGAGGTGACGATATGCGTAGTGGTGTGCGGGGACAGGCTGCACGAGGCCCTGACTATGCTGAAATCGGCGCTGGTCTTCGCTGGCAGACCGTTGCAGTTTATAATCCTGACGGAGCAGAACTTAATACCAGCCTTCAGTGAGAAGTTGTCCGAGTGGCGGCTCATATCCAATAAGACCTTCGATTTCCTGGTGCGGCCTATCACCTTCCCGGATGGTAGCGATGTAGCCATGTGGAAGAAATTGTTTAAGCCTTGCGCGGCACAACGACTGTTTCTACCAGTAAGCTGTCAATTTTCATTTGTAGGAAATGAAAGAGAAAAAGAGTTACATTAAACCAATCAGGACTCGTTCGCTGGAATGATACTTTAAGTCGCTTGATCAAGTTAGCTCTTTAAAATATCTAATTGATTTTATGATCTTTTAACCCTTTATCTATTTTATTTTTTATATGTCTAGTTAGCAATATTTTTTTCTCTGTGAGCGTCAGTCAGATTTACCAGATTTATATTTCAGACTGTGCTGAATGATACAGATGCAGTGCTCTATGTAGACACAGACACTCTGTTTCTGGCACCACCTGAGAAAATCTGGGATGAGTTCAAAAAGATGAACTCTAGTCAATTGGCAGCTCTCAGTCCTGAACATGAAGATCCCAATACTGGTTGGTATAATCGATTTGCCAAGCATCCATATTATGGCAAGCTCGGTGTGAATTCAGGGGTGATGCTGATGAATCTGACGAGGATGAGAGAGTTCCGATGGACGGACTATGTGATTCCCATTCACAAGGAGTACAAGCTGAAGATAACCTGGGGCGATCAGGATATTATTAACATAATATTTCACTATCACCCAGAGAAGCTGTATGTGTATTCGTGCCGATACAATTACAGGCCGGACCACTGTATGTACATGTCTGTGTGTGCGGAGGCAGAAAGAGATGGCGCTCTAGTATTACATGGCTCCCGTGGCACGTTCCACTCACAGAAACAGCCACCCTTCAAGGCCGTATACCGAGCCATGCAAGAATATCAGCTGAACATGGATCCATACGACGAACTGCTCGTGCCGATGAGGAATTACCTGGCGATGGAAGACAAATCGAATTGCGGCCATGTTTCGAAGGTGTTCATTATCCAGCCGGAGTTGCATCTAGCTCATAACTTATAAAATTTATACTTGATCATACCGAGGTTACGTATTCGCGCGAGCTTTCTGTCTTTATATTCGAAACTTTTTAGATGCTCTTTTTGTTATTGATATGAATGTTTTATACAGGTATATAAGCAATAACGAATAGGATGTAAGCATTTCTACGTATTCGCGAAGCCACTTCTGGCTTATAAACGTAATGTCATCTGTATTCTTCCCGTCTCTCAAAAAATTCTCGAGAGATTTTAGATCCTAAAAAAATACTTAACTATTATATACTTATGTATACATAGTTATGTGTGTCTTAACACATTATGGACTGGTATATTTTTAAGAGAGTAATATGATGAAATACAAGCCGATATATACAAGTCATATATATCTCTCTTATATATATATATATATATAAAATCCAGTCTTTACGAGACTACGTACTGTTATTACGTAATATATTAAAAAAACGGTGTATGAATTACGCCGATCAGCATTATTCAATTATCTATGTTCCATCGTAAAAATGAATTTACGCAGTCCACAATGCGTTAAGTCCAAGAGGCTTGACTTGAGTTTCGGGAGCGTAATTCTCGCAAAAAGATATATAACGTTAATGTTAATTCCAAGCGATTCCATATATTATAGACTGAACTTTTTCGATAGTGCATTTGAGTTTTTTTTGTTAACAAGTGCGCTATGTTGTTACTGTTTGTATGAGGATGCGAATATGTTGTTATGCATTTTTATACCTTTGGACAATACTCGAGCGGTGCTGCGCGATCGGCGCTTATCTTTAAAATACTCGGTCGTTTGATATTTTTGTTTTGAAAACACTCATTTCTCTATAACGTTATCTATAACATCATTTCTCTATAACTTTAAAAGATTAAAAATTAGCTCTTTACATATTTATAAAATCTAAAATCAATTTTCGAGGATTTTTTTGCGTGCGTAAAGATTTGAAAATTTAAGCTTCAAAATATAAAGATACAATTTCATGCAGCGAAGCAAAGCTCTTATCGATTTTCGATGAATACAGCGAACTAACGAAGGCACGCTGAAAGTTTGACATTGTCCAACTAACAGCGAAATAACGCTAGAAAAGTGTTGCCGGTGAAGTGAAAGACTGAAAGAGAAATTATAAAAGATACAGATACATTATACAATTTTAAATGTATCATAGCAAATATAGCGATTATGCGTTGCCTCCTAATCTCTACTGCAACTGTGGTTGCCACTATACCATCTATATTGCTCCATGTATTTGATGTACTGACTATTATAATTAATTTTTAAGACAAAATGAGAAATTTAGTTTTTTTTTTAAATTGCAATAACTTTTCAGCTACGACACATTGACACTACAAATGCTTTAAAGTCTTTACGCTGCTTTGCATTGAGGTGGAGTAGAGATAAAAGCTAGCTTTGCTTCGTCGCATGAAATTGCACCTTAAGAGACCTTTAGATTCATATTGAGAATTAAAAAAAAAGATTAAGTCTTAAACATATTTAATTGTACGATATAATTCTAGAGTTGAAAGCACTTTAAAAAAGAAAAAAATGTAACTTTGAAGTTATATGCAGATATCTGTATTTTTTACTATCTTTATTTTTTCACTAAAGCACGAGAGAAAAATATATAAAAAAGAAATTTGGTTATAGAGGATGCTAACGAGAAATCATTTTTGTTGATATATTCGAAATTTTTAGAATGCTATTTTAACGATAATCAAAAGGATGACATTATCTGTGAAAATTGGAAAATTCAGACCTATTCTTAATTATGTTATCCTCGCTCCCATTATTATTTACACGGGCTCTCTCATGTGCAATTTCTGTTGGAGATAAGCTCTGATCGGCGATGCGAGATTATTTTGAAAGTGATTTACATTCGATTTCGAAAATCTCGCTAAAACTGAACGATGATCCATCAATTTCCGTCTATACGAAACATATAACTGGATTTACACTATTTTCAAAAAAAATGTCTCGCATTTTAACGAGACAATAATCGATCGCAAGTATATGAGTATATGAATTATAGTACTATGTAATGAATTTTTAAACTCCGGCAAGAGTGTTCACTTTTTTACACAAGTTCTGACGATTTTTTGTACCGTTCTGTACGATGTGCATTTTGCATCGTCCGACGGTGCGACAATACGATGTCGTTTGTGATACTTTTCCTATATAAGAAGTATTGTGTAATAAAGCTTAAATAAAAGGTCTGTCTAAATAGAGAAGCGTGAATAATCTACTTTACTAATTAACGTAATTAACGTTAATTTACTTGAGGAAATGTACTTTATGTAACAATACGCTGCGATTTAGTTTTATACAAGAAAATTTTTATTATTTTTCGCTTTTTATCATATTCGAATTATGAGGAGCTCGCTAGAAAAAACAGCAAAACGGACGTGTCTTGTATGCTGAATCGAAGCGAACGAATAATTTCGCTCTCATGATCGTTTGATGAAGATGACAAGGAAGAATTATTATTCTTTTTAATTTATTAATTAAACTTTTATATTTCTTTTCGAGAATTGCCTTTTTATTTCTTTCTTTTTACGCGAGAGAGGGGCTCGCGGCGGATTGCGGATTGTTCGCACCTCGTTGTTAATGACGCAGCGATGAATACCAGACGGGCACACACTCTCGAGAGGGGTCAGTCGGTACGAGAAGGGGCCCCGCACGATCAGTCCTCTCGCCGCTGCTTTCCGCTCACGGTGGCACGCGAGCTCGTGAAATCGGCCTCGGCGCGATTTTCTCTCGCTGTACAATGATGGTTTCTCGCGTACGAAAGTACTAAAACGAATTTTTAACAGGACCCGAGACAGAGTGGGCCCGTTCAAATTCGGTGAGGGGGGAGGGGTCTCGGTGATATTTTTTCTTTCCTTTCTTCTTTTGGACGTACGTCCGTAACGCCAGCACTACAAATATGTGAATAGAGGAAATTTAAGGTAAATACACAGGTGTAACGTCTGCGCGAGATTGTTGTAATGTCACTCGTTCTAGAAATAATTTTACTTTGAGAATTGATTAAATCTAAATTGATTAAACGACTATCCTCGAATAGACCGGTCGTTAAGGAGCAACGTGATCGTAATTCGAGAATTTTTCTTGCAAAAAAATGGAACTAAAGACTTATTTAGTTATGTTTTGATTATATTAATTATTTTTTTCTATTCTGCATTTTTTGAATATTGCTTTTTCGAAAAAATGAGAATAGAAGCCTACATTATGTTTTAATACTTTGGTTTTAATTATTATTATTATTATTTTATTATTATAATAATTATTATTAATTTTGTTTTCTTTTGTTGCTTTTTAAATTGAATATTATTCTTTTTTTTTTCGTAAGCAATCTGATTCGACTAAAAGTGACTCATTCAGTGAGCGAGCGAGTGAGTTTATAGCTGATCGAATTGTCAGACCGTGATCGAGTATCATTTTTTAAATTCTAATAGTAAAGTTTAATGTGTCGGAATGTGATATAAAAATGACTCCGCTGCATTTATCTAAGAACGTATGATGGGAATTTTGCGGAGAAGCAACTTGAAAAGAATCGCTGGTTATTTTACTGCGTTTTCACGGGTAATATTCCCTCAGTAACGAATGCGAAAAGAAGCATTCGTTTTTAACAGGAATTGTAAACATATCTAAGATACTTTGTACTACATGCTCGATATGTCTTAATTTTGATTTTTTAAACAATCTTATTGTTGATTTTTAATTATAAAAAAAACTTGAATATTTTCCTTGAATTTTCGTTGCGAAAATCGATGTGATGAAAAAAAGAATTAAAGGATCCAAGAGCTTTAGTTTCATCATCTGCAAATTAAGATATAAAAAAATTATGAAGCAACAGGTCCGATGTGTCCTGACTTTGGTTTTTTAAATCCACTTTATTTCTTAATTTTTAATTATAAAAATGAATCCGAAATTCTTTTCTCTATTTCTCATCGCGAAGAAGAGGCTAAACAATTCAAGATTTCCCCATTTGAGATCCTAATTTTCCGAGACAGACTCCCATCAGACTTTTGTTCCTCGTCACACGTGTTTTTCGCGAGATATCAATCATCGATCGATCTAACCGGCCCGAGATCGCGATTCGAGTCTCTTTCTCGTTTGCGCCTCTGACGAGGCGATAAGGATCGAGCGGGCGAGCGAAGCGATAACGGGTAAACGATAACGGGCGGAATGGAAAGAAAGGGGGTATTTAGATCCCGGTGGCTGCCAGTTGCGACGACGAACGCGGCGTTCGCGGCCGATTTCTGCTGTTCCGCTCTTTCCGCGTAATCGCTCCTCTACGTGACCGCTGAATGAAAAGTGCCCTCGCGCCTCCCGTTGCGTCGCGAAAAACGCGTCCGCACGGACGCGGATACGGATACGACCGGATGCGCGCCGATCGCGGCGAGGAAGAGGTGAGAGGGCCGGTCTCTTCGCGTTGCGCGTTCCGCACGGGCGTTGCGTGTTATTTGTACTCGCCGGCGCGTATTCGCTCGTAACGTTACGGTATTTGACACGGTATTTGCACACAGAACAGAAAAAAATTAGCCTTAAATCGAGGACAGATATTCTCATATCGCGAGCGAGAATACGATCAGAAAATTTTGAAAAAAAAAGATTCAGTCTTGATTTGGACGAATTTGCTGCGTTGCTGCATAGAGTATAGATATTCTCTATAGTATGAATAAGAATATTATAACCTTCTCTATAGAAGATTTTTAATTTTGAGTTGAGCAAAAGTAATACTTGCGTCGGTATAAATTCAATCGAGACTAAAATTTTCCAAGAAGATTACAAATGAGAACGCTTGTTTTGAACTTAAGACTAATTTTCTTCTGTGTACACTCGTTGTACAAAAATTGTCCCAAAATTTGAAATCAGACCCATGTCGGATATGTGCATTGCCAAGATTTTAAGAAAGCTTCAAGCTAGTAATAAAAATGACCTAATAAGAAAAATAATCGCGCGAAATGTTCGTTATCGGTTGACAAATAAAACGCTTAAATCGAATCTAAATATATTCATTAAATATACTGTTTCTCTTCACGTATGAGAATGTATATGTCATCCTGTATAATTTAATATTTTTTTAATTGTCCCGGGAACTACTGACAGACTTCCTGTCGCGTGTCGCTCGAGAAGAATTATTGAAAAAAATAGAAAAATAAAACAGATAAGAAAGATAAAAGGGGCACCGCCACTTTCACTGCATTACGCTTCCTTGCGCGCGCGCGCGCGCGCGCGAGAAACCAATTACCTTATCTCGTTTGTCCGCCGTGACACTCGTGCGATCGTACAACGGCCGCAAATGGCCGGAATACAACGCGTTGCATAATTTTATTCGCCGCTCGATTCGCAATGCCTGTTTTCCAGAAAGGTTTCAAATCAATTTCCATTAATTGAAGGCGCGATAAGCGGCATTCGTCGAGTAAACCTCAATCGAACGTTGAGATTGTGAACAATCAAGCTCGAGAGGAGAGAGTTGTTTCCATGTTAACACGCACCATGGAATAAATGTCAGACATTAAGAGATACGGTAAAATACTGAATTGCAACACTCGTGTCTGTATGAAGTAAGATAAATGAGTGTAAGTCGGTTTTGCACGTACTTTTAATTAATCACTAGAACGAAATAAAATTTAAGGGAGAAAAGAAATTTTACGTTAAAACGTATATATTTATCATTTCTACTTGGTTGCGTCGTAAGTTTTTCGAATCTTTTTTATTGCGTTTCTTGTGTGTATTCCGGCAATTAATAGCGGACGGGTTTAATGAGACGAATTATGAGGCACCGCACGATCTCCTTTTCCGTTCCACGATTGACCGTAATCGGAGACAATTGGAATGACGATGTTGCGCGCGGTTGACAATTTGCATTGTTGTAGGAGAATAACGTTTACGAAATTCGCAATAGCTTAGTCAGAGATTGCGACGCGACGCCAACGACCTGTAAACCGAATCCACCTGTGGACGTTCGTGTTTTTTTTTTTCTTTGTTGCGAACACATTGTGCAGAAGCGACTTATCGCGTTCCAGGTTTTAATACCGTTCCATTGGATTACGAGATAAAGTTTCTGACGAAATATCCCATTGCGACTTTGACAATTAAAATATTAACTCATACAGATGGATGACAAATACATTCTGATAAGCGAAGAAACTTTAGTATATAATATACTTAGATTATTTGTCAACTGTCTTTGTAACAACAAACATTTGACGTAATTATTTTTTATTACGTTGTTTCTTACTAACTTGAAGTATTTTTTTTTTAAACCTTGCACGCGGAATGATCGTAGTACATCCGGTGACATCTGATTTCAAAACTTTTGGATTTTTTTCAAATGATTTCAAATTGCTTCGTTATAATTCTTGCATACGCGCCATTATTAGAAATACGCGCAATTTATTTTTTACAGTTATTGGACTAATCAAAATCGGAGCGGTTTGAGTTCTTGACGTACTCGCGTTGCTATTTGCAGTTGAAAGGAGACACGTCAGGTCTGAGATAACGATTACGTCATATCATATTAAAATTTAAGGCAAACAACGATATTGCAGGCAGTTTTGCCATATTTTCTCGCTGTGCTTCTTTCCCTATTATGTAATCAGCAAAAACAATGTGTTTCTAATGAAATCGCGTATTTCTAATGACGCCGGACGTTGTCGCGTGGACTTTGCGATAAATCGGTGTGCGTGTACCCGCGATGAAATGTTACAGGATGAAATGTTACAGATAAATTAAACGACGCAGGTAGAATTGGAGAACGACGAGTCGTGTCGTTTCGACGAATGTCGGATCTGATCCGTTTTATCGTCTGGGACTTCGCGAAATCCCGCGATTTAGATCTCAAGATCTTAGATCTCGATCCACGATTGCGCTTCTTATTGCGCGTTCTGAACCTGATGTGACTTAAAACACTGTCACATCATGCATAGATTAAAATCCTTAAACGTTCCATCGAATGTCGACATACATATTTGCATCGACTTCGTACTCTTAATAAACAACAAGTTAATGAACCTATCTTAAACAAAAAATGAAAAATTTGCGAAAGAAGCCACTTTTGACGAACAAAACTCGAAGTCTCTTGAAACAGACTTTGCTCCCAGAAAATTTGATCAGATACAAATCTGAAAATAATTCTGTTGGACTAAATAATTACGTTCGGACGTTCAAATCGCTAGATTGATCGAAAATTTTTATTATACTTGAATGTATAACGATCTGCCCGACGAAATTATTTTCAGATCTGTAGATCTGATCGGATTTGTAGAACTGATTTCAGCAGAATTCCATTCTTTCCACGTACGAAAGGACGGAGGTGTGTGCGAGACGGCCGACATTATTTCCCGTCGAAAGAGGATGATTCAGGCGAATACTAAGTACCGTATAAAAGGAGACCGCCGCAATTTGCGCTCTTGGCGGCGCGAATCGTTAACGAGGCGTCTGACGAGGAAGGCTCGCCTAAAGTGACGTTACGTAAAAACTGTTTACGTTCGAGGCTGCTTCCTTTTTCGAGGGAAGGACCGACGGTTTCGTATACCTAGGCACGCGCTCGATTACGACTTCAGAGTTGAAGATAAGCGTGTTGGAGGGAAACGAACGCCGAGTAACAGATACTCTCGGCGACGTAACATGTGGCCTATGCGTGCTTTTATCTCTCCCTACGCGGCCGGCAAATCGCAAGATTGCAATTATCGTGGTTCCTCCCGTGGTTCTCATTTTTCTTATCCAACACACGGAGAATCGAATGCACATTCGTAGATTGTCGATCCGATCGCGCGCGATGAACCTTAATTTTTTAATTTTTTTAGCCACCCGGAATTCCTCCCATTGTGCTCTTCATTCGGTCGACGTAATGATTCGGTCGACGATATAAATAAAAATGATCGTTTAAAATGCAACTTTCTAGCTTCGATGATGTTGCGGGGGATTTTTTTTAGATTTCCCATACCGATCAAGATAATAATCGTGTACATCGCATATTAGAATTGTTATTAATCATTGATTGTATATTAGAAAAATTGATTTATCACGATACTAGACTAGAATAATTTTGAACAAATATTATTTAGAAATTTACTCGATCCAGTAATAATTCCAAACAAAATTCCACGTGGAGGCAGACCACGTAAACTGTCAATTCTTTAAAAGCGGGTAATTCCTATGATAAATCACTGTCAATGTCGATTCCACCTCGGAGTAGAGGCACAAAAGAATCGAGAGGATCCGAGATGATATCCGTTATCAACCTGCTGGTACCTCTCGATAACCTCTATCCCGCGATGAGAATCCAGGAGTATCGTCACGCCGGATTGTGCATAACGGGGTCTTCCTTTATAATTTGTTCGCGCAGAATCGAGAATGCCGCTGTTCAAGGCGCGGGCCACGCCGGTAACGGAGAAAGCTGCGAACGGCGTGCAGTATCACAGCCATCACCATCAGCAGCAGCAGCAGCAGCAGCAGCATCATCATCATCATCATCAGGCCGGCAATGACAACGGTCATGACAGCGGCGCGAGCGATAACGGTACCGGTAGCCGTCCGGGCAATAACGCTCCTTCTCTTCAGCACGAGCAGACGAGACATCGGGATCCGCAGCCGTCATCATTGGTCTTCCACTGTCAGCTGGCCCACGGCAGTCCCACAGGATTGATATCGGACTTCAGTAATGTCCGGGAGCTGTATCAGAAGATTGCCGAGCGCTACGATCTGCCCGCGGAGGAGGTGAGTACGAACACCAACGATAAATACCGCAAAAAAAAATTTGTTAACATTATTATTATGGAAACATATGAACCGGTCATTTTTGACCATTTATATTCTTTTTATTTTAATATTTTTTTCTGGGATTGTAATATTGTTCTATCAAACATTTTCTGACTAATTTTTATTATTCTCTGAAGAATATTCTATAAAGAGAATATAAGAATATTCTCCTATAAAGAAAATAATTGAGATGAAAAATTACAAAATTCGAAAATTGTATCTTTAATACGAATTAAAGAAAGATATTGAATTTGAAAAGTAAAAATCAAAGATAAGAATTTTTTATCATTTTAATATCAGAAATTTGTGTTCCAATTTTCACGAGTTTATCCTTTTACTTTCCCTGAAGTAAACTAAACAGACGTTTTCCTTCGAGTGTCGCGAAATGCTCAGTGACTCGCAAGAATATTTCTGTCGCGTTCGAAATGCGGGCAAAATTACACGTCTGTCCCTCTTTACATTTTGGAGAAATCGGCAACCGTGAGATGAGAAAATGCCGTCGAAATTGATGACAGTGGAGTGTGATACGGTGAACCTACGGAGCCGCTTGGAGAGCAGAAACAGTTTAGCGTTTCCAGCGCGAGGCGTCCCACGTAAAGAGAAACGACACCGGACGCAGGAAACGCCGGTCACGGACCGTGGCCTCTCTCGTCGACCTGGCGGATATATATATCTCGGTGAATGATGAGAGAGAAAGAGGAGAGAGAGAGAGAGAGAGAGAGAGAGAGAGCCACGTGTAATTCGTCGTGTAAACGCGGCCGCCGCGATGTAACCAGGTCGGACTCGTTATGGATCGCTTGAAGCACGGAGGGTCTAGCTTCTCTCAGCTAGACAAATCGTCGCTTCATCGCGACGAATGGGTAAAGAAAAATAAAGGAAAATCAAACAAATCTGAACAGAATTCAAGTGGAAATAGATCTGCTGTACACGGAAGAAACATTTTTTCTAGCAAATTTGGCCAGACCTGTAAATAATTTTATTGGGCCAAAATTATTATGTATGATGTTCAAATCGTTGCCAGAAGATTAATATTTTTGCAGTATTATTATTATTATTATTATATTTAAGCGTTCTACATAATAATTCGATGGCCTAACAAAATTATTGAATCTATATTTGATCAAATTTTTAAATTTGCCAGTAAAATTATTCTTTCCGCGTAGGATTTGAATTAGTAAATAATCAAAGTTGGTCACCTTAGAAGAATCTGTCTTGAATAATATTTAAAAACAATTAATTGAATGTAAAGAATCTTAAATAGAGAAATTCGTAAGATTTGATTAAAAATTATTATTAGTTACTCAATATTGAAGATTAAATGAGAGTTTGACGTTTCAGATTCTTTTTTGCACGCTCAACACACACAAAGTGGACATGACGGAGCTGTTGGGTGGACAAATCGGCATGGGCGACTTCATATTCGCACATAAGAAAGGTCATTACGTATTACAATTTCGTTTGTATAATTAAAAAATAAACAAGTCGCATAAAACGAAGAGAAAGAAGTTAATGCATTTTTTCGGTGCAGGTCGGCCGAAGGAAATCGAGCTGGTGAAAACGGACGACGCGTTGGGCTTGACGATCACCGATAACGGCGCCGGTTACGCTTTCATAAAACGTATCAAGGAGGGTTCCGTGATCGATAGGATAAAAGTGATCGAGGTGGGCGATCACATCGAGAGAATCAACTCGACCAGCCTCGTGGGCCGGCGGCATTTCGAGGTGGCGAGGATGCTGAAGGATATACCGAAGGGTTCGACGTTCACTCTGAGGTTGGTAGAGCCGCAGAAGAACGGTTTCGGCAGCATCGGGCCTCGTGGTGACCCTAAGAAGGGAAAGAAGATCGGTTACGGATCCGGCAAGGAGACCCTGAGATTCAAGGCTGACGGTAGCGCGCAGATCGTAGAGCAGGTGCGTAAAAGCGGTGAGATGGAAATTACGATCGAGTGGTAAACTCGTAAGGCAGACAAACAGTATTATCGGTAATGATGTTTTTTCTGATAATATCGATCTCCAAGAAGTGAGAGCCAAATGGGATTGTACGCTGGGATTGTGTTGGCTTTCTCTGTTATGAGACGTTTGAATTAATTAGATTCACGTTGATGCATTTTCTCTCCGTAAACAGCAAAGTAACAGAAGAAGCAATCATTAAGATTATTAAGGATGTATTAACTGTATAATAGTAGCGAAAAGTTATCGAAATTGAAAATATGTTAGATTTCTCTATTGAGAATCACAGAGACAT